CCGGCCGGCAGGTCGGATCGCGCGATCACGGGTGCTATAAATAGCCGGCAGTCGTGCCACGATGTTCGGCTCGCGGGTTGCAAAAATGTCGAGGCGCGCCACCAGATGCATGCTGCATTGTGGAGGACCCTCTCCATTCTGAGGGAGGGCGCCAGAAAAGCACGCTTATATTTTGCGCGACAGATCGAGATTTCAGGGACAACGAATGAGCGAGCGGAATTCGCGAGCTCCTTTCGGGCTTTGAGAGACAAAGATTCCGGCTACATTTACCGATAAGCCTCAATATTTATACATATATAGCTCTGAAATTTCTTTTAAAGTTTCTCGCGACGTTGCACGGCGTATGAATCAGTTATTTTTAGAATAATGTTAAAAAAAACTTCCACATTTCCTGAGAAAGACGGAGACTGCTGCTGTCTGTATTATATCGTGCGTTATATTGTGCAGATTTAACCGCTGCAACACGTCAGTTGTCTGCCTAACGAAAAATTTCGTTCAATGAACTGAGAGTTTATCGACTAAATATATATTTGATTACGATTATCATTTTAATGCATTTAAATATATTTCTTTTACAATTCTTCTAAAAAGATCAAACTGTAAAACTTAATAGGAGAAAAAAAATTAGATTGCATAAATAGATTGGAATTTAAATAGATTGCAGATAATATTGGAGATGAACGAAGGTCCTATAACTCTACAGATGTTTTTTTCGAAATTTCTCGTGCACAGTAATTGATTATTAATATATTATTGACTAATCAAATAGTATTGACTAATCAAATAGTATTGGCAAAGAGAAATATACTTAACATGATCAAATTTCTTTATTTTCATTTTACAACCCTTAAAAAAAATCACTTTTTATTGTGACGATTTTGTTGATAATTTTAAAACTCATCTTTTATTTGTTATGTTGATTTGATATATTTTTTAATGAAGTTAAATTAGTTTACGTTTGATAATAATTAATAGAGTAATGTTTACTTAACTTATTTATGGTAATAACTAAAAAAATCACATTATTTGAGTTTTGTATCAGTTGAAGTAAAAGCGATATAATAATCATACCAATGTAATTAATTATATTGATATGATTATTATGTCTTTTGAGCAGTTATTGATATGATTAGTATTTATTTTTTGCGATGAGCTAAACATAAAGCAACGTAACATAATCTTTTCAGATGTCTGCAATGCGGATTTAAGTCCGTACACTCCCCAATGTATCGCCAGTGTCTTGAAAAAGTTTCTACGTGAATTGCCAGACCCAGTGATCCCGGTGCAATGGTACGACAGGTTTCTGGATGCGTCGAGTAAGTATATATTTCTTAATCAAGTACTTTCTCAAACCGGTTATCAAATTTTTCATCAATGGTTATAATTCGTCGTTCGATTGCAAGTCGTACGAATCTGTTTTTGTCTCACAGATATGAGAAGCGACGAACAATGCGCGACGCGTCTCAATCAATTAGTAGCGGAGCTGCCGGAACATCATCGTAGCACATTGTGCCATTTGATGGCACATTTCTGTCGCATCTGTCAGTTGCAGCACGGAAGGGGCTACACGGAACCACCGACCATCCTCGTACAAGTTCTCTGCCATATATTTCTCAGGCCACCCTGGGACCGAATCATGTGAGTGCCACGTTTCACACGATCCCTTTTTTACTGGCGACATGCTAGGCTGTAAAAAAAACATCGGTATTTTCGAGGATGCTAGTAATAGAATGCTTTCCATCTCGTCGACTAGCGGGCTAATTAAATTAAAAGAATGTGACTTTTAGTAGAATGTGAATTCTAGTTTGTTAGCATTGAGTTATTTAATTTTCTCTCGCAAAAAATACCTTGTAGATTTCAGGATATAATATCATTACATAACGATATAATACTGTTATATTTGCGATAAAAAAATTAACTGGTTTTACGACTATATTATTACTAATAGATAAGATTACTTGTCTGATAGAACACTCGTAATACTCTTTGATTACGAAGAATTTAGCACTTTGCACTGCGCAATTTTACAGCCAAGTTGTTCACAACACGGAGGCACACATACGTATAATGGAATTGCTACTATTACACGGCGATTGGAGCGAGAGGCTACCAGAGTTTGCCAGTCCTCCGCAATTACCGCCACGTAAAGTTTCGAGACCACAGTTTCCGATTTTGGATCCATTCCCGGTTCTTGAAGACGAAGCTGTAGACAAAACGGCACCTGGTGCAGATACTGGCAAGGACCAACAGCCGCATAGGTGATCTTCAAATCCGATTCTGATTTCAATCCAAATCTTAATCTAAGTTAGAAGTTTCTAGTTCTAAATTAAACTTTTTAATCTTTCTATCAATTTAATTCTCTCTATACTTAGTTTTAGTTCTACTTGGTTTTAGGTCTTTCTTCTTCTATAGTTATCTTCTAAGATTTATAGTAATTATTTGTAATTATATGGCACAAATTGTAAACATCGTCGAAAAAATTCTAGGCCACGCACACTACAGGAAGCTGAATGGTATTGGGGTGAAATCACGAGGGATGATGTAAACGAGATGATGATCGACTCACCGGATGGCACTTTTCTGGTACGCAATGCGTCCTCTAAAGGTGGCGAGTACACTCTAACGCTGCGTAAAGGCGGGACCAACAAACTCATCAAGATCAGCCATCGAAACGGAAAATATGGATTTTCGGATCCCTATAACTTCCACTCGGTCATCGAACTGGTCGACTACTACAGGAACTGCTCGCTCGCACAGTATAATTCGGTGCTGGACATTAAGTTGCTTTATCCAGTGTCGCGATTTCAACAGGTACCTTCCTAGAACTTTCTGGTCCACGAAATAATTGTATTATGTTTATCCTTGAACTTTCTATCTTGTGTTTCTCTGAAAAATAGGATGACGAGATCGCAAATACGACTGATATGGCAAAAGTCAGACAGAAATATTTCGAGTTAGATAAAGATATAAATGATACAATCCGGCAGTATCAACATTGTTCGGATTTGTACAGTAAAACGGCCTACGAAGTTCAGTTGAAGCGTAATGCATTGGAAGCCTTCACAGAGGCCATCAAGATGTTTGAGGAACAGATAAAGTTGCAAGAAAGGTGCAAGATAGAAGCCCAGCCTCATGAGATTTCTACGTAAGTACTTTGTTATTTATGTTCTCTAAAGGTACTTATATTTCCAAATTTTTATGAAACATTTAAAAGTGAAATTTTCTGTATTGTTCCATTATGATTGCATCGATGATAATCATATTTCCGAGATCTTATATAGCAAATAATATAAAGTAAGGATTTTTAATTATAATTAATCATTATTATATTTTTTAAATAACAGTTTGACAGACAATTCGGAACTGTTGAAGCGAAGATTGAAGGCCTTAGAAGATAGCAAAGAACAACTGGATGAGAGTCTGAAACAACAGATCGCCTACTATAGGACCCTTGAGAGAGAAATGTACAAGCTGAAGTCAGAGATTGGAGTACTTGTGCGGCAAAAGGATCGCCATTCTCAGTACGTATTCTTTTATTCGGTCTGCGTGTCAAAAATTTCCTTTTATTTTTACATTGAAAAACTGATCTAATTCATTCGAACATTGCAGATGGTTAAAGAAAAATGAGATAAAGCAAAACAAAGAGGAGGTGGACTTTGCAGTTCATTCCGATGAGAAAACGTGGCTGTATTTGAAGGGTTCTCGTTCTGATGCTGATGCTATTCTAAAGGGCCGGTCCGATGGTACCTTCCTTGTTCGTCGATCGAGAACGGGCCAGTACGCACTTTCTATAGTGTAAGTATCTTCTATAATTTTATACAAGTATGACGTGTAGTTTAAATCAAGAATAAATGAAAATAGATAATTACAGATAACGCGCGAAATCATAATATAGTAGGAGTAACATATGAACCATTTAAAACGAAAGTTAATCCTCTCCTCAAGGTTTCCCTCGAGAATTTGAATAATCCAGTTTTAAAGATCGTATTTCATTGACCGGGTTTCGCGGTTTGTGTCATGTGTTATTCGAGAATCGTGATGTTCCAGGTGCAACGATACGGTACAGCATTGCATAATATACGCTACCGAGCGCGGTTACGGCTTCGCTGAGCCATACAACATTCACGAGACCTTGAAACACCTAGTGCTGCACTATGCTCAGAATTCTTTGGAAGAACATAACGAGTGCCTGACCACCACTCTGGCCTATCCCGCGTTTGCGCCGCCCGCAGCGCTAGCGCAACTACAGGCCCAGCAGAAGCAGTTGCAGATTCATATTCAGAATCAATCGCCGTTCGCGCGACCGCCCCATGAGAATCAACTCGTCATGCCGCATACATAATATTGGCTTGTCGAGCGTCGCGATCCGGATCCGCTCGAGTCTGAGTACGTTCACGCACGCGCGCACACCCACACGTGAGTTCTGCTGCTACAAGCATCATTCGCCGACGCGATCGGCAGATCGACTGTATCACGTGAGCCTTCCTTGACGAGTTCGAATACGTTTCGTTGCGAGACAAAACGTTCCTTCGTTCGGAACGTTTCCTAAAATCGCGTACAATAATTATGCTTATTTCACAGTGAGAGGAAATAATCTCACGCGAAATATCGTGAAAGCACGCAATGTAATATCGGTTGCTTAATCATCATCGAATGATAGGTAGGTCGTAAGATCTCCGAAAATACGGAGCACTTTGACGAAGTGTATAATAGCCGTAACGATAGTAATCGTAAGAGATACTAGCGATAGAATTAGATATATACGTGTTATCGTGATACGATAATGATCGCTTCGAAGCAGAAGTTCCCAAACGGCGCGTCGCGACATCCTGATAAAACGCAATTTATATCCAGAAGAATGCAGAAGCAAGAAACAGATGAAGTAAAATCTCTTGAAAGATAATTTTTTAAAAATTAAACTAATTTTTTATATTATCGATTGTTATAAATATTAAAATAAATGTTTTAACTATTTTTTTATTGATATGTAAAAGTGATAATGTTTTGAAAACGTAAAGTTCTTAAATTTTCTTCTGAATTATCTGAATCTTTTTGTTTTGTAAATGTAACAAGGATGAGTAAGCGTGGGAAAAGATTAAAAATTGACTTATACTTTCTACATGACTAATAATGATTGGACATTTCGTATCCACGCTTTCGTCAACATTATTATAAGGATAAAATAAAAAGAAAATATCAGATCGAAGAATTGTTAGATTCAGAATGTTTGGGAACCTCTCTACGCGGAGAGATCAAAGATCTGCGTCGACATTACGGCAGGATGGTGACGGTACGTTTCTGCCGCTACCGAAATTTTGTTTTTTAAAACAAAGCGTTTTTTATCTTGACGCTTGTAATTGCGTAGAATTTATCCGCTCGGAAACATCGGCATTACAAAAACATGCCGTCGGATCAGCGACCGGGATAGCGAGGTCCGCTTCGTTCGTATAGATTGTTCAGGTAATCAGGGTAGTCTCTTATAATCGTCTAACGTCTAATCCTTAATAGCCTGAATCCCCGGATTCTGATTAGCTCGTATCGAGCGATCATTTGAAACTAACTTTGAGTTAATAATTTAGTTTCAATTAGCTATCGTTATCATTTAGCTACATAGGATGTACCTATGTAGTTTAAATCGTGCTATTTTATTGAAAAAGACAGTTAAAGTACTATAAAAATAATTTATAAAAATATAATATCTTTTGAATTGCTATGATTGTAAGTTATAGTCATTGATCGAATGTTCATGCTACTATAAGCAGAGCTTATTACGTTAATATATCTTACGAAATACCCACAAATGACACTCGACATAATTTTTCATGTAATAAGTTAATCTGGATCACGTGCTATTACTCATCATTATTTAATGTTTTTTGTAATGTAACGTATTTCGTTTCTTACTATAAAATTTGCACTTAAGTTCGCAAGCTAAATTAATATAAATTAATAGGAATTGATATTAATGTCAATTATATTATGAATTAAGCTTTGCATAATTTTATCGCAACCACATTGTATTGTAATACGATCATTTTAGGCTTTTAAGGGTTAAACGTGGTCGTTTAGAAGTCGAAAGATGATCGCTTCCTCGTTGCTCGAAATTCCTGATCGCTTGCAAATGCCGTTCGCGACTTCAACGAAGGACGCGTGCTGCGATTCGCAAAATAAAGCGTTTTCATTTTTTGCGATATTGCTGAATTATGATAGTGATATTAGAATGTAGTCGAACGAAATTCACGTAAAACCGCAAGGCGTCTTTATACCATTTTATAGTAACCGAAAAACTGGCTGCGAAAATCCAGTGAATCCACTTTTTCCGAGAAATTTAAACTGTTCCTTGGAACATTATCAAATATCACATTAACTTGTAACATGTCTGACTATTTCAAGTTTTCCTCAAGTCATTAAAGAGTGGATCCGCTCGCTTCTCCGTGGCTAAATTTTCGAGTTTAATCGCGAAGATGGACCGGATATCTCCGTCGTCCTTTCTCGATCGCGTTCCGCAGTGGATCGCGATGAAATTTCTTCGGTGAGAAAGAGAGAGAGAGCTTTTTTTATACACATTTCAGACATTATGCCAAGCAGATTTGTGAGAAAAGATACATATATATACACACACACACACATATATGTATATATATATCTATATATTATCTGTGATTTTTTTCGGATTGTCTGTAAGCAGAGGGAGAAAAGTTATCGCGTTTGTCATTTCCGATCGCTTTTGTCCCTAATATCTCATTCTTGTCTTTCTTCTTTTTCTATACTTCTTTCGTGAACTTTCTTTTCCACCAAAACTTCAATGTACGATCAACGCATCGAGTCGATCTTTCTCGCTATCAGTCTTATAGATAGTAGCGATGAGAGAAAAGATCAGGATGCAACAGGAATTGAAAATGTTGAGTGAAAAGCAAGAAATAAAATTGCCAGCGATATAAAAAAACAATTACGAAAGAAAAATCAATTAATAAATCACAATCGAACGCTAGTCATTAGTCTGAAACAATGTTTTTGTAATGCTAATCAGACAGAGGACGCGTCTATTCTATTTATATTCTTTGTCGTTCTTTTATATATTAATAGAATATTTATCTGTCATTGTTATTCTCTTATATTTTCTTCCTCTTTATTACAATCGTTTCTTTGTTGTGTCCTGACCTGAACCACTGAAATGAAATTAGAAGATGCACGGAGGCGTGCCTGAGAAATCTCACATTTACAGAGCGGTCGGTAAATGGCGAGAGTGTATCGGGAACGCTTCACGTTCAATGAAACCGGTGGTTCCTCAAGTTTATCTCGCGCCATCGTAAATGAGAGACTGAGAAACACAAATCGACAGATTCGATCTGAGCAGATAAATCGGACAAGTATTGAAATCAATAAGAATCAAGCTAATATGATTCATCTTTCAATCTATCCACTATATCTATAAGTAGGAATCATTTAGATTAAAAGCGGCGTAGTAGTCGAGTTTTGGAAAAATCTTGTCAAAATATTTTATTGAACATGTGCGAATAAGAGATCAATTTTTATCATGCATCTAATACTAAACGCGGTCGTTCAATTATTCATTATTCACGTTGAAAATCGGATAACCATCTTTGGCGTTAGAGGCATTGTTAAAGAAGAATGTGAATGCGAAGTATTCTGTGTCGAAATGCGATTTGCACCAATTTTAGATTATGTGAGATGTATGTGTAAGAGTATGTGAACGTGATGTTTCTCATCTCTACGCTTTTATTTCTTCCGCGACTATGTAATCTCCTATCGCGCGATAGGAGGCGAACGAGCGAGGAAGATCGGCGAAATCGTCTCTCTTTTCATTCTGAAGAAAAGCACAGAGCGGCGAGAGAAAAACGTCGCGCGGGAGAGAAACGTAGTCGGTGAACAAAAGGTTCTCGTTTGCTCATTTCGAACGTTTCGGATTACGTAGGTTTAGGTAGTTTAAGATTTTTTATACAGACGAAGGAAGGGGTGGTGGAGAGGAGCGGGAGAGGCATGTGGCCTGGCTCGCTACCACGTGATTGTCCAATTTGTACGTCCGTCGTCGTTCGATTCGTTCTCCTCCGGTCTCCTCGCGTTTCTTGTCGTGCCATTCTCCTTTTCGAGGCCTTGTTCGCTTTTTATTATTTTATACCGTTTCGTATTTTAAGCTCTTCGAAGAGCAGGATGACGACGACGTTGACCTGGCATATTTCGAGAAACGAATTCACGATCATGTTCAATTTTTTGGGGTTTGAATGCTCGTGATTGTCGACATTAATTTTTGCCGTGAAGCAAATGCCGTGCGTCACTGATCGAGCCTTTCGCATGGTAGACAGCAGTGAGACAGTACCTATCGGGTTTCATTAGAACGAGTTGAGGCAATTCTTCGTGATTTTTCTCGTGGGAGTTAATCTTCCGGCGTAAGAGAAAGTACGGAGGAAACGAATCGATGACGTCGGATGACTCTTTTATAGTGTTAAAGACAGTTATACAAATATTATGACCGATGAGTACGACTCGCGATAGAATCTCCTGGTGAGGCAATTAATATTACATTTGTTATATTAGGTTAATAATAAATAATTGTAAGATACTACGATTGTTAAATAACAACAAGGTGTAATATATATTGTGTACAGTTTTACATTTTTTATGAAAAATGAATTCAAAGACAAAAATCCTTCGATTTTCTAAATTTTACGCAGACAAAAACTACGTAAAATTTGGTATTTTATATTCTCACGGGAATGTACTCAGTGTAATGTCTTTACGGAAATAAGTGTTTTACAAATCGGGAACTCTTATATAATTACCAAATATGATTAGAATTAGAATTATGAAGAATGTTCATTAAGATGGTAAGATAATTTTTTATCTTTTTGTTGCTTTAAGAGCTTTAATTTGAATTTGAATATCTCTGTTTAATGTGTGTTTTGTTACTCTTTTCTTAATTTATAATAATATTTTGCAAGTGTAAAGTCAATTCCGCTATGTGGAAAGAAAGATGCAAATTGATAAAAAAGAAAATGTATCATTCAATTGTTTATCTCGAAATCTATCACGAGTCGCACTCGTTGCTTTCCCAGTGGGAAAGGATTATATTTATACAAGTGCGCGCGCGCGCAGCATACATACATACATACATCATACACGAATTCACACATACACGACATATTCACGGAATAGATTCACATGCGAGATAAATAAACGAAGCTATATAAATAAATATATATATATATAAATATTATATAGATGCGATACGTTGTGCGTCGAGAAATATATATGGTGCAGATATGAGAGAAGAGAGAAAAGAGAGGAAAACGAAAAAAATATATATATATTCGAGTATATATCTATATATATTTTTACTTACTTTCAAAGCAAACCTTCAATTGATTATTTATAATATATACATGCGTACATATACATACATTTGATGGAGGGTCGTGTTGTATTAATCGCGTGTCTCTGCAAGTCTCGTCGATTGCGAGTCGCTTCGAAGAGGCTCTCAGATGAGCGCGTCGAACAGGCACACACCGTGCGATCCCGCGATCTTGATGAATCCCACGGGATTCGAAATGTTGATCGAATGTATCGAATCAAGTCAAGTCGAGTCGCTGAGAGTAAGTGCAAGATCGAAGAATCGACACGACTCTTAATATGACTGTCTCGAGATTGTGCAAATTGGTTTTTTAGTATTTTTGATAGATGTCGATTGTGCACGTAATAATTTTTATCTTAAATTGCGAACAATCGAGAGCTTGTATTTTTCTTAAATTTGCGCGAATTACGTGCTTCGCCTTATAGACATATATTCAGGGTAGAGAAATACGTGATACCTTTTTATCAAATTTCGTGAAGTATTTACACAGTTCTTTATTTACA